CCGGTTTAAACTAGCAGTTATCCAACATCCTACTATGTTACGATTAATGTCAAAGTACTCTGCTGCCTTAATGTAATGACTTGTATTTATAACCTTTTGTTTAACAATTCTTTTTTTGTAGAATATGGTATTTTAGCTGAATAAAATAATTTTCACAATTTTATGTGATATTTTATAATTAACGCAATCAATGATCACAGGATTTATTGACGAATTAGCAGATTTTAGATTATATATCGTAAGTTAATCAAACATACCTGAAAATAAACAACAATATAGCAAAATATGTTGCTTATTTTCAGAAGAATATGGTATTATTATTAAAAAAAATAGAGTTTAGATCTATATATCCATAATCTGTATATCCGTACAGATAACGGATTGCGAATACTTATTTTACTATTTCAGATAATATCTATGGATAAATAATTTTGTATGGATAATCCATAAATAATCCTTATATCTATGGATAATCATGAAAAAATATTGTTCTTAAGGAACAATAATTGAATCATTTCAAAAGAACAATGAAAAAATATCATTTTTTTGGAACGATAATTGAATCATTATAAAAAAATAATAAAAAAATATTGTTATTAAGAAACGATGAAAAATAATCATTTTTTTTGGAATAATGATGTATCGTTCTAAAAGAACAATAAAAAAATTGTTCTAAAGAAACGATGATATATCATTCTGATAAAATGATGAAAAAATAATCATTTTAAAGGAACAGTTATATATCATTTCAAAAGAATAATAAAAAAATTATTCTAAAGGAACGATGATGTATCGTTCTGATAGAACGATGAAAAAATAAGGAATGATTATGTATTGTTTCAAAAGAATGATAAAAAAATAATTGTTCTAAAGGAACAATGATATATCATTTCAAAAGAACGGTAAGAAATAATCATTCTAAAGGAATGATTATGTATCATTTCAAAAGAATAATAAAAAAAATCATTCTAAAGGAACAATGATGTATCATTCTGATAGAACGATAAAAAAAATAATTGTTTTAAAGGAACAATTATGTATCGTTTTAAAAGAATAATAAAAAAATAATCATTCTAAAGAACGGTTATGTATCGTTCTGATAGAACAATGAAAAAAATAATCATTCTAAAGGAATGATGATATATCATTCCTTTGGGAACGATTTTATCAATATCCATATTATCCATATATCCATGGATAACATGGAGATGGATTATCTGTATTATCTGTATATCCATGGATAACATGGATATGGATTATCTGTTCAATTTTTTTTAAATTATCCATATCTAGGTTTAATTTTTATATGTATAACAGATATTAAATTTATATTATGGATATATATCCATGGATAATATGGATACTCGGATCCAAACTCTAGTTTTATGTTAAGTTCATATTTTATTTCAGTATTATCTGAAGAGTTATTTCCGTCTGAAAATACCATAACTCCAAACCATAAAGTTTCAACAAAAGAAGGTTTGGCAATAGTAGGAATAAAAAAATTTCTACTTTAAATTTATCTAATGCAAAAGGTCATACATATAAATTTTATTAAACTTCTCCAAATGTCTATCTAATCTTGTGGCGATTTGTTATCATATAAGAAATTAATTTTTTAAATTTTTAAAATGTGTAAAAAACAAATATGAAAATTAATTAAAATTTGTTATAGCATTATAAAATAATCTAAATAAAATTCTAAAAGAATAAAATATTGATGTATAATTATAAAAAAAAGCAAATAAAGTAAATAATAATACAAAATTTAAAATAAACATATTTCCTAAATAAAAAATGATTAACAACTTAAAGAATAAATAGAAATTTCTTTAATAAATTTCGTCGATTTATTATATTATATTGATTTCTTCTAAAAAATGCTCTTTTCTTCTTCAAATTGATATTTTTTCGAATTCATTTCTGTCGTTTTTCTGTAATTTCAATGATTAAATTTCCTAAATTATATAAAATTTTTTATAAGTACGTAATTCCCTTGGGAGTGGGTAACAGCTCTTTAAAAAAAGATTCACAAGAAGTAAACAGGGACGATGTCATCGAAATTTCAAATCTGCCTCGTATAATTTAAATGAAGGATAACATATGTTTAAAGGATTAACCCTCCATCATTTTTAAAACCTTCTTGCTAACTGCCAGGTTCAGTTGCACCACTTATCACGTCACGTATAACGCTTCGAATACCTGGACTTAAGAAAAACATACCTTTATTATCTATTTCGTAAAATGTTATTATCAGTTCTTTTAATGTTATTGTTTTCTGACATAGTTTTCCTGTTACTTGGTTTTGAATTTTTACGTGCAGTAGGATTTTTTATTTTTTTTATTTAATACGCAACTGATTTTATATCTTTGAATAGACTCGTTAAATCACGAGATATTATCATTTTAAATTTTGTGTCGGGTGATGCAATACTTTGAGTCCATTGGTAAAAAACGCGTGCGCGTATTTGCCGATCATTTGTCATCCTTTTTCGCAAGTTTGAATATATTATTCGTCAAATATATTCATATACTAATATACTAAACAATTTCTCTTTGACGAATAATGACTACTTGTAAAAGTTACGAATTGGCTTTATTTCACTTCGAGAAATGCATGCCGGCAAATCATGATTTTGATCACGTTGTTGACGTCAAAAATTTAAACTTTTTGAACTTTTCGAAGTAAAATTATGTATTATAAAAAGTTCAGTAATAAAAAGATATTATTAATAATAAAACTTAAACTTATTTAATTAAAAATTCAAAACAAATAAGTTATAGGATTAATATAAGTTGTACCACATTATATGAAGTTATATCCAATCAAATAAAAAACCGGGAGAAAGTTCGCGTATCCTAATTTACTAGTTTTGAGGTAAATATATAGTTAAAGACTATAAACCTATAAACCATGAAAGACTATTTAAAGTAATTTTAACTTGTAATATAATTCCTTTTTGTAATTAGCACGATGAAGATTTTAAAGAAAATCTTTATTTTTTTAATATGAAGAGCAAGTTTTTTTTTAGCCCAAAAAAATTATTACACAATACTATCCTAGTAAGGGACTAAAATGTGACGAAAGGGAATGCCCTTAATATTACGTGTATTGCGCTAAAAAAAAAAATAAATAAAAAAAAAAAAAAATAGAAACGCGATATACAAAGAAAAAAACTTTTTTTTCTTTAGTGAAAAAGTATGTATCATTTACGTGTAAGAACGCACATTAAGCTTCCGTTTCGTTTAACAACATATTTGGTATTCCATCTTTTATTGGATAGACACGATTACAATTAGGGCAAGTCATTGCTCCTTGCAGAATATGTGTCTGTAAAGTAAAGAAATCCCCAACAAGAGTTAATTAGTTATTTAACAAATCTTTAACAAATAAATCAAAGTAATAAGATACCTCTAATAAAATGCCATGTAATGTCTTGAGAAACTCTTCATCCAAGTCATCAGTGGTAGACTCTGGTAAAACGGTAGGTAACGTGACATTAATCTAAGTAGAAAAGATTCGATTAGTAGTTATTTATATTTCCTACGAAGAATTTTACCCCTTGCATTAATTAATCGAACAATTAAAAAAGTTAACGTAATTCATACAATAACTTCAAACTTTTTGTTTGGAAAATAGAATAAATTACCTGTAACGCTGTTTTCACTAAAGCATTCCATTCTAACTTTGGTAACATGTTTCGTAAGAACATTGGATTAAATTCTGTTTCTTGATTTACAATTTCAACTTGAGAAAGCTGCAAGGGAAAATTGTTTGAATTGCAGTTTTTTGCATGACATTGAAGCATGTTATGAGTTATCAATCGCATATTTTATTTAATAAGTGTAAGAACGGAAGCAAAAAAAAAAAAGAAAAAAAAATGGTGAAGTCCGGGTTAATATAAAATTTATTTTTCTATTTTTCTCTGATTTTTTTTATGAAGCAAGCTATATTTTCTAATTGATTGGCAAGGAATCTGATTGGCCGAAATAGATATTAGTTAAACCATAAAATCAAATCTTGTGTAATATTGAAGGATAATATCGTCCTTCTCATAGGAATTTTAGTCCAAAATGTTTACAAACCAAAAGCTTATTCGTCCTACATTTGCTTATGGTATGCCATTTATTATTAATTCAATTCAAAATTTTATTAAATAATAACCCAGAAACGAAATAAATCAAGTAGCACGAAGGATTTCACCCACTTACTTTCATAGCTCAATTGTAAGGCGTTCTGGACAAATTCTAGAATGTAATAATAGCACATTTAACAAGATGGTTATAGAAGCGAAAGAGCCCGTTATAGTCGATTTTTACGCAGAGTAGGTTTCCGGGAACTGTGATTTATTTATTATTAAATGTACAGCGTATTTGAATTCTAACAATCTGATTCTTATCTGTTCTGATATTCGAGTATTTAATTTAATTGATTTTTATAGTTGGTGTGGACCTTGCAAGGCGTTGACGCCTATCCTTGAACAAGTTGTGAAAGAAAATAAAAAAATTAATCTCGTAAAACTTAATACTGATGATAACCCGGACCTTGCGAAAAAATATAAGGTAACTAACTTTGTAATCTTAAAAAGAAAAGATTCGTCATTCAAGCTAATAAGGACTTTTTAATGTTAGATTACATCACTTCCAACTGTACATGCATTCCACAACGGTAAATCGATAAACCATTTCATCGGTGTAAAACCCCCGGGAGAGATTAAGGCCTTTGTAGAAAATGCAGCATCATTAGCGAATGAGTAAATGATATTTTTTGACGTGAATTATAAAATAACGAGATTTTTCAATATTATGCACGTGATGAATGAGATTGCTGATCTCGTTGATCTCGTGTGTATTTCGGGTTTTCCTTTTTTCCTTTTTCACAAATAATAAATATTTGGAATTGAGATTAATAATCAAAGTTTCACAAAAATTTTTATATTTATTTAATTATCCTAAAGTAATCAACGTTTTCTAACTTGATTTTAAAGTTTTTAATTATAATGACAACAGAATCAAAATTTCCAACACTTGAATTTATCAAGTCTGAACAATTACGTGAGATAATTCAGACTAAAGAAGTAGGAAAGGATTATTTGATAATTGATGTTCGTGATGATGATTATGTGGTAAACTATAAAATGAAAATTTTGAATGTTACAATCCTACAATCCTCCCTTTATGTTAATAAATTTAATAAATTTATTAGGGAGGTAATATCCCAAATTGTATTAATAAACCTTCAGCAACCATCAAAGATAGTCTTGATTCATTAATTTCCGATTACAGTCATGGTAAATAATCTTTCTTGCCTTGCAATCAATTTCTTTCTAATCTTGAACCTAATTGAAAATCTTTTTGTTTGATAGTCCCACAAATTATATTCACATGTGGTCTTTCAAGAGGTCGTGGACCAAATAGCGCAAAAACGTATCAAGATGGAATATTATCGAAAAAAAATAACACCTCTCAAAAAATTCAAGTATTATCAGGTGGTATCACTGAATGGCAAAAACATTATAAAGATGAGCAAACTTTGATCGAAAATTATGATGCTAATTATTGGAATCAAAATAATAATAATATTCATACAAATAATCCAAATATTCATTAATTGAGAAATATGTTTACAATAAGTTATTTTTTAAAATAAACCAACCATTTATCAATAGATTTTTCAGGTAAAGGAAATTATGTTTACTGTAAATCATTTATATATTAAAATTCAATCACGAAAAGAAATGTGTACATCATGATGATAAAATATTTATGTATTAAAAAATCTATTTACATCAATAAATCATTCTCATTTATTTACCAATTTGAATAAATTCAACTTATTGCGGATTATTCTTTAAGAAATTAAAACAATTAAATTTATAAATCCAATTGAAAATCCAAATTTCTTTGTGAATAAATGACATTATATCTCTTCCCAATGAAACTTTTCTTTTTCTTCCAATTTTTGTAGCTTTTCTTTCTCAAACTCGCGAATTTTTTCCTTTATTATTTGTTCAACTCTTGCTATTTCTTCCGGCGTTGGTGAAGTTGATGATTCTCGATCATTTTCATCATAACTATAAATGCTATAATTATATGGTGACGGTCGCGGCGGAACGGAATTATTGGTTTTCGCCCATTTAACCCTTCTCTCATGATCTTCATCTACCATTCGTCTCTTAACTCTTAATTTGATTTTCGTGGAACCACTTACAGAATTTTCCCATGATTTTCCGGGATTGTTATCATGATCTATTCTACTTGATTTTAAATTATGATTTTTATCCTCTGATTCTTCTTCAAAATCCACGTTACCTTGGCTGATTACTCTGTTTATTCGCTTACTTAACCTTTTCGTTAAACTTGTAGGATTAGATATTTCTTCCGGAATATTGTCCTTTATTAATTGTTGTTCTTCTGTCGTTGATCCACTATCTGACCCAAGTCTACTGGCTAAGTCAAGTAAAAATAAAGCTAAATCTACTATACCTTTCAACTCCCATTGAGACAAGGATAATGGATCCTCTAGAGAAATGTAAAAAAATTTCATTCGATTAACAAGATCCCTTTAAAATTAATTTAATAAATAAATAAAATGGTAATCGTCCTCTTAATACCTTTAAGTATCTCATTGTAATACTTCCCTGCATACCAACACATTTTCTCGAAATATGGAAATCGATATTTTATCGGTACATTAGTACGTTTTTCAATATCATAAACAGCCAATTGACCCCTAATATTAAATCCCTGTAAAAAATTGCCCCCGATGACTATTGAATCATCTGGAGTATATACTGCATGAATCCATCCGGTAGGAATTATCCTAATGTATTAAAATGAATGTAAAGCTCAATAAATTTATGTTAAAAAATAAAGGATTCATCGGTTAATAAAGTCATTATCTTTCTTACATGGTATTACCAGCAACTAATTTCACTTCATAACTATCTTTGACCAAATCAGCAAAAAAGGTCATGGATTGTTCTGGTGAGGATATCCATCTAGAATACCTTTTTAAATTGGATGGTGTAGGTGGAACAAAATAAAATATTTTTGATCCTTTTATGACATGATAAAAAACAGATGTTCCACCGAAATCAATATGAAAATCAGTGAAGCTATCCTTAATGCTCATAAGGCAATAAAGCTGAACTTTAGGATATTCGATATGTTTCTTATGTGAGGGCCACATGTTCTCGACCCAGTCAAGCTCTCTTAGATAAAACATAAAGAAATATCATTATAAACTAGGATAAGCACATCGAATTATGAGAATAATGAGATATGTATTATCATACCTTACAATACGTGGACGGACTATTGAATTACCAAAGGATGTATCGCTCACTTCTAGGCTAATTACATTTAAAACCTGGTCACGTTTTGGACCATCGAAATAGGTAGCCCATTTATACATGTTCCAATCAGGAATTTCTTGTTGGGTGGAAACATCTTTTTTTTTATATCAAAGAGATTAAAATATCAATAAAACAAAATTGTTTAATGACGGACATTATAATAAATTACCTATTACGTCTACCGGAGTTTCGTATCCTAATGAAATGGTTTAATATATGGGTTTAAATTTATATGTTTAATTTCGGGTAAATCATCATATAAACATACCAACAGCTCCGGCAATTTCGCTAACTGTGATGTCCTTATGTGGCATTTTCATATCAAGGCCATCTGGACTTTCGATAATGATAGGTTCTTCAAGACCAAACCAACGTATCCAATCTATTGTCAGCTGTTCGCCACGTACCTTTCGAAATTTGTGTTTTTGAAACAATTTTGAATCAAGAACACGTTTCCATTTATAAGGATTACCGGTTAAACCATTTTCTAGATCAGCATAATTGACTTTTGAATGTTCTCGTTGAGATTTCCTTATTCCTACTTTATCTGATATGCATTTAATTTTGTATAATGGATATTATATTGTGTTGAACTAATCAAATGCAACGTTTGAAGAACGGAAACTTCGATCAGATATTTACTTACAGATACTAGGACCTTTGGATTTTGTGCATTCTGGACAATGATATTCATCAATTCTATCACATTCTTCGGAAGGAAGTTTGAGACAACTCGCATGACACCAGACATGACAGAGATCACATTTTATCCACGTCTCGGTGCTTTCTTGAAACCAAAGTGGTACTAGTCGTTGTTTATTAGCGCAAAGTGGACAACGTTCACCTTGACCTTCCGTAACCTGAGACATTTTATCGAGATTTCCTTAAATTATTACAATATTAAGTCGAGAAATCAGAGAAAAATACTTGGAACAGGTTTTACTGTAAATGAACATTGACTCCGATCCAATCCCTTCCGAATATCAATTTCACGTGACTGCAAGATGATAATCCAACATCCCGTGAAGATGCTCGGACATAACGAACATAGTCAATAGAAAGGAAAAAAATTCTTATTGGCTTATTTGATAGAAATACTCACGGGAACAAAGTTGACTTAATAAAGAATACGTCATTTATTAATAAATTATTGATTAAGCGTTACATTGATCGACATCAGCTGAAATATTAAGGAGTTGATGCTTCTTTTTTTAGAAACTAATAGCTCTTTTTTTTATCATTTATATAATGAAACAAGTGAAGTAACAATTGTATTCCAACTACAAAAAAAAACTTTTCCTTACAAACGTTCCAATCACTAAAAAAGATTAACATAAAAAAAAAATATGCCAGATATTAGAGTGACTTCCTAACAAGCAATAAACTAAAAAACATTCTAATGATATAAAAGAACTAACTATAAACAATAGTGAAATCTCTGATTCCTCTTTGCAACCTTTTGTAACAATAAAAATATTTCTACTCCAAAGAAACAAAAAATCCTTTCACTTTCAAATAAACAAATAATAACATTTATAATATTATTGAAATATAGTCTTAGGACTTGATATACTTCCTAATATATCATCAACATCAATAAACAATATTTCTGTAACTGAAAAACCCCAGCTATATAGAAGTTAACATAACTTCTAACTTTGTTATTCAACTAACTCCTTATAATCTAAAACAAATAATCAATGACTTTTATGCATACAAATAATAACAATGATAACAATATGTTCAAAGACACTGGTTTTGATTATATTATTCTACTAATTGATAAAGGAAAAAAGAAACAAACATGATCTAAGAATTAAATAAAAATAAAGAATCATATGACCAAGAAAAATAAGGACTAGTTTCAATATTATTACCGCTTTCATACATTTTTATATGACAAATAATATATCTGATATAAAGGAAAGACTATTACTAAGAAATGCACTTTTATTAATTCACTTTTTGTATATTATAATAAATACTAAGACTCTAACTATATTTCCAAATTGAGAAAATGCTTTATCTATTTTTGCATTATAAAAGATCTCACAACTGCAGTTATTAAAGTACAAGATATATAATATAATCCAATTTATAATTATAGATTCTGCAAAAAAAATTTAAACAAGATGCTGAAAAAGGAAAAATTCTGAAAAACTCTGATATTTCTTTATTTATTAATTCAGATATTATCTGAAATTTCTTTTTCTATTATAGTAAGATCCAATGGTTTTCTGTAATTCCTGATAAATTGTCTTTGTTATTTATAAAAATACTGATATCATCAAATTTTTCTATGATCAAATCTGATCTATTTAATTTCTTGAGATTGCTCTTAGAGTTAAATTAATTGACTTAGATCCTTTTCAAACTTCTTTATAATAATTTGAACTGAAACTCATTAGTTTATCACTCAACATCAATCAATTACAATTTTGATTATTAATGCTAGAACATGTTTTATCTTACATAAACAGCAATACTGACTATGATTATATACATTATCATTGGAAATAATTCTCTTATCTATCGCACGTGTTTCACTAAGTTATTTTTACTACGACAAGTAAATTCCTTATCATCAGACTTTACAATCTTAGAGAATCTCACATCCTACAAATATCCGGAATGCCTTAAAATTACTTTACTTGATTTTACAAACTTAAAAGTTTAGGGACTTAGGGAAAAATGTAGAGAATTTATTTATTCTAAGTGACGAACTTAAAAGTAAGTTAGTATAATAGTTCATAATCAAATTCTAGATGATAAACACATAAAAGGGAAAAGTAATTGGTTTTCAAAGTTGATTTCTTTATTTATTACTTGAATTTGTAATAAAACTAAAACTCGCAAATGAGTTAATTTACAATTTAAGCAAAAAGCTATGCTATTTATACAAAATTAATTTGCTACAGCTAACTAGTTACTACGCTATAAACTATCTAAATTTGTAATTTTAAATACTAATATAATAATAATAATAATACTGAAGATAATAATTATAATAAAAATGTTAATAATAATAAAAATAATGAAATAACGATAATAATTAAAATGATAGAAATACAAGAAATTAGGAAAATCCAATGAATCATGATGATCATGTAAATCTAATAAATTCTAAGTATCCTAAGAATCATATAGATTTTGCAGATCATTTGACACAGTATTTATCAAACTTATTACGTTGTCATTCCATTAGTCACTGATGATTGGCATAGTAAAGTTAATTTCTGATGTTGACAACATTCATCAATTTTAAAAATCAAGAA